TGTGTTAGTTGGGGTTCTTCACAGAAACAGAACCAGTAGGGTGTATGTATGTGTGTATATAGAGAGAGAAAGATTTTAAGGAATTGGCTCATGCAATTATGGAGTCTGGCAAGTCCAAAATATGCCGGGTGGGTCAGCAGCCTAGAGACTCAGAAGAGAGCCAGTGTTGAAGTCCCAGTTCAAAGGCCATTTGCTGATGGTATGTAAGAATCATTTCGGACCCACTGAAGCTTAGCTTGTCTCTAGAAATTCAGATAATTTTCTATCAGAGTTAGAGATTGTATCAGGATTTAATCAAAAGCTTGTGCCTTACCAGGCCATTTATCTGTAATGCATCCTTTAAAAAGAAGAAACTAAGAAATTAAGAATTGCTAAATCCTTTGGTTTACTAGCTACGTAGAGTTTCTTTAATAGACATAAACTTACATGGCACTATTGAATATAATGCAGCAAGGAAGAAGAAAAAGAACATGCAGAAAATTATAGTACCAAGATAAATACACTGAATAAAGATAAAGGGGAAAATCTAGCAATCGGGTGTGCAAAAAAGTGTTTTTATATTACCCGTATTTGTAGGCATCCTTCATGTATCCTTTGTAGCACCCTATTTCAGGGCCATGTGCTTCAAAGTGACTTTATTCTTTAGATATAATTCCAGTGATTCTCCTATGCACTGGCATAGTGAGTATACAGTCTTTTTCATCTAACTTATATTATAAATATTAGTAACTCCTTGAGTTTCCATGTTTTCCCCCAAATTCCAAACTAGGAAGTATCCTTATAGCTGTTTATTATAATTGACACAAATGTCTCACTAAAACCTGGACTGTCGTTTAGACACCAGTCTAGCTTTGTACAGTGTACTTCCCTTTGTGCCTTGTTTGACTTAAAATACTAATTTGTAACTTCTTGTTTTGGTGGATTCAGAGGCTGATCTTTCAAGTGTTGCGATCTTGTTTGAGTGGAGTATACCTATTTCTTTCATCTCTATGTCCTTCCATGTGATGGTATCCTGTCTAAACAGTTATGAATTTTTTGATATTTAAATGATATAAGATAAACATATAAGCTATATTAATTGTTGTTTAAACATGTGGATCTACCAATTCACTGAGTAAATATTTATTGA